GTTTCGGCATTGAGACACCAAATCAGTGCTCAAAGAGTTATATTTGCAGCAAAACTTATACCTTCAACGGTATGCCACTCTCTCTATACACCACTAACACACCAACGGGTCATCACTACCAGCCCTGCACTCAACACACACCACACCTCCAACACAATTGAGTTCAAAGGCCCGCAAATGCACTACTTTTTTACTATTCCCTATTTCTTATCGCTTTCTTTTCAATACAACTACTCTAAACTTTTACAATCATTTGACGTGTATTTTCTCATCAATTCGTTTTTGGTACTCAACTAATTGACTCAATGCTCAGGTATTTAATTAAATCAATTAATTCATCGATATTAGAGTCAATTTATTCATATATCTATTGTCATTTCTAATCATCATTTTAAATATTTGTGTTTAACAATTAATTAATATATAAATATATAAATTAATATATACTGTAAATTGAGCATATCCATTCAATTCAATTGTTATCAACTATACCGTAGTTTTTAATTGTAATATTTATCAAACATTAAATAATTAAACTTATGTATAAAATTGAATTCAATGTTAAATACTTTTCTATTGTCTTATAATAATAGTAAGTTCTCGAATGCAATAACTGATTGATCAAAATAAGTAATTGCTAATTAACCATGGTTAACTTTTAAAATATACCGTAATAAGTTATTTTTTTATGAATACCACATTTAAATGAATCGATATATGGATATTCTTATACAGTATAGTATAGGAATCGCTCACTTAATTGAAGCCATTAATTCTGTGGACGCTTAAGAGTCTTAAGTTAAGACATTCATTACAATGTAAAAATAAAATTAATTTTATCAAATATTATTGACCTTGTGCATATTCTTAATTAAAATCATTTGTCATGCATTCTAAATGATTAACTCAATTTACTCAAAAAGACTAATTTTATGCCATCATTTAATTTAATTAATAAATTTAAAATTTATAAAATCACCATCTGGTAACTCTCAATTAATAGAACTTTTAGCGTTATCTAGGTAGATTTACCTAATGATTAGGCCATGTAAGTAAACCCAATAACATTGTAATTAAATTAAAGTACACAAAATTACTGGTATTGTACTTTACAGTGTCGTCAAAATAACTTCACAAATATATGATTAGATGTTGACGTGTGTCATTGGACATGAACAATTTATAAATCATGTTATAATCAACTATTGTAATCAATCTAATCGATTACAACACTGTATTTCGTATTTAATCATTACTCAAATATTGTGATAACTCTACTTATTAATAAAATTAAATCAACTATCAATACATTAATCGATAAATTGTTTCAAATTTAATTTACTTTTAAAACAATTTATGAAATACTGTACTAACTTAATAGTGTAGACACACGTCAAACACCACTTGCGGTACAAACTAAACGCAATCAATAATATTCACAACACAACAACCAATTGTGTCATACATTCACTACAAATCAAATCAATATAACTTATTATTCTTACTGTTATCTCATTCATTCACTTCTTCAGCACATATTCGCTCGCAAATGCACTTCAAATATAAATACATCAGAGAGAGAGAGAGAGAGAGAGAGAGAGAGAAGATAACGCTAAAAGTTCTATTAATTAAGAGTTACCAGATGGTGATTTTATAAATTTTAAATTAATTAATTTAATTAAATGATGGCATAAAATTAGTCTGTTATAGCCCACTAGAGAGAGAGAGAGAGAGAGAGAGAGAGAGAGAATTATCGGCTGAATGAGTTAACTATTGATTTTGATAAGACATTGCTCACTATGCAATGGCTATAGCCTATAGCCGATGACAATCTAGTAATATATTAAACTCAAGTTTTAATTTCAAAGGATAGATGTGTTGATGTGTTTAGAAAAGACCGGTAACTGAAACGTTTGCAATCATTTCAAAGATAAGTGAAAATAATGAATGTGTGGGTGACTCACCTCTGGAGGAGGGGGTCCCTCAACAGTGAGTGAGACAATGTTCTGACCCCTGAGGAGAACGAATCCAAGAATGCGTTTCTCTTCGCGATCGACTCCTTTGGATCCCTTTTGTTTAATTTTGCGGAACTCTTCACAATCGGCTAATATTAAGTTCATGTGTTTGTCAAACGCCTTGAATGTGCCGATGAATGTGCGGCTGTCCTGAAGACTCACTCGCATCCTATAGTTGATGAACTGAACCATTTTGTTATTCTTCGAGATCGTCTATAGATAGCGGACAACCAAACAAACCATTCAATCAATACATTATCATTCAATGCATCCATTCTTACCATTTTTGGTGCCAAAGATGGTCTCCTGTCTGACGATGTATTGGATGTGATTTGCGGTCACTTTTGTTGTCAATCAATAAATCAATTGATTTTAAAGTCAAATCTGATTCACAATAATTGGATCCAAACGTTGTGTAAATCAACACATGGTTTGCTTTGTTATTGTCCATCCATTTCGTCCATTAAAGCCATTGTTTAATGCATTCAATGCATAGAAATGGGGTTTAAATGAGTTTTACGTCATTTATTGTATACTAAAGAAGTGAACCATTGGTTGAATTGTTGTGCATTTGAGCGCACTTTGCATTCATTTCATTGGTTCTCACAATTGGTTTGCATTTAAAATCGTTGAATGCATTCACAAAACAATTGTTTGCATTTCAAACACAAACACACATTAAATACTGATTTTATTGATTGAATTGAATTGTATTTTACTTTTTACTCTCATTTTGTGTCCGATTTTGTGCCACAAATAATGGATATAAAGAGCGAAAGCATTGATAAGCCATTGAAAGCGATGAATGACAGGTATTTATGGCTCTCTTTAGTAACGGTTTTATAAGTGATGACTAATTGTTGTTTAAAACCCTTTTGAATGGATTGGATGTGTGGTTGACGTGGAAGTGATGGGTCGGGTGTGGAGAGTGGGAAGCGTTGGAAACTGTCAGACTTCGAGATCGGCCGCCCTCTGGGCAAAGGCAAGTTCGGGAACGTCTATCTCGCGCGGGAGAAGCGAAGCAAATACATAGTGGCCCTCAAAGTGATGTTCAAATCGCAACTCATGAAGAACAACGTCCAGCACCAGCTCAGGCGTGAGATCGAAATACAGGCACATCTGCGCCACCAGAATATTCTTCGCCTCTACGGCTACTTCTACGACGAGACGCGAGTCTATCTGATCCTGGAGTTCGCGCCGAGGGGTGAGCTCTACAAAGTGCTCCGAAAGGCCAACCATTTCGATGATAAAGTGTCGGCAAACGTATGGATCCGATCGTTGGTTTGATCGCCTTTTTGCTGACCCTTTGAATGCCTTTGTATTTCAGTATATCCTGCAAATGATTGACGCTCTGGAGTGCTGTCACTCACGCAAAGTGATCCACAGAGACATCAAACCTGAGAACATACTGTTGGGCTATTCGGGCGAACTGAAGATCGCGGACTTCGGGTGGTCAGTGCACGCGCCCTCTTCGCGGAGGGCAACGATGTGCGGAACTCTGGACTATTTGCCGCCCGAAATGGTTATGCATAAGCCGTACGACTCGACTGTCGATCTCTGGTGCTTAGGAGTGCTTACGTACGAGTTTTTGGTGGGAAAGCCTCCCTTCGAGAACGACGACACCAAACTCACGTACAGTCGTATCGTTGAAGTGAAGTACACTTTCCCGGACCACGTCTCACAACTGGCCAGAGATTTCGTTCATCGAGTAACTAATCATTCACTTTGTATTCGTCTAATTGTCTTATTAATTGCGGTTTGCATTCGACAGCTCTTACAACGAAAGCCATCGGAGAGAATGTCGTTGAAGGACGCGAGGAATCACCAATGGATCACATCATTCGCTCAAAACAAGTCAAAAGTCTAATTGTCTTATTAATTGCGGTTTGCATTCGACAGCTCTTACAACGAAAGCCATCGGAGAGAATGTCGTTGAAGGACGCGAGGAATCACCAATGGATCGCATCATTCGCTCAAAACAAGTCAAACAATGAAAACCAATGTTCAATAAATAAGAACAAATAATAAGACAAACAATTAGTGTGTGAAATATGTCTTAAAAAACTTATTGTTTTATTTTAACCATTATTTTATTTCGTATCATTCATATCGATAATAATGAACTATTTTATACCTTTGAATTACAATAAAATATAATACAATCAGACTTTAAAGACATATTTTATTGAAACGTTAATGACTTCTATATTTAATAATCAAATTTAATGATAAAAATTAGTTGAATAAACGATGGGTAAAACGAATGTAAAACCAATGATACATTTTGGTTGAATTGATTTTGAAAAATAGTTTATTTTCTCATTTTCTTGTGATGTCTGTCTCTGTCATCCCTGCCATCTCTGCCATCCCTACCATCTCTTCCCCTTTTCATCGAACTGTGTTTCGATGACGAGTGCATTGAGCCGTGCCTTTTGGGTGGCGGGGGTTTCCCACGATGTCCGCCGCCTACTCCTCCCTTCCTCTGCGTGTAGTCGTCAACAAAGTCTCCGTGTGTTTTGTCAGCCGCCGCCGCCTCCTCTTCCAACTCTGACCAGTCTTTGCCGCTCTCTTCACTCGAACCCAAAGAACCCTCTGAACAAACATTCATATCATTTAGAAATCATTTCGTTGTAATAATTGGTCACTAATTGTGATCAATACCTGATTCATCGGTTTCATCTTCACTGACGGCCGAGTCTTCGGAAAATTCAGATTCGCTTTCCTCAACACTGGACACGGAGTCGGACGGTCTGTACTGATCGTCCTCTTCGTCGGAGTCGTCGTCGCCGTGATTCTCCTCATCTGATTCCGGATCCAAGAAAGTCCAGCCGCCGGAGTCGAAGAAGCCCTCGGGATCGTCGGTTATAGTCTTCATGATTTTGGCCCAATTCAGCGATTGAATGCCTTCTGTGTAGCGAATGTCACACGAACTACAAGTAAGCAATTATTCAATTCATAAATGATATATGGCTTCAATTGTGTTCGTGTTATACTTAAGCCACTCCTTCACGTGATCCAACATAGCCATGGGTACGGCGTTAACCATTGATATCTTTCTGGTGTAATCTTTGAACACGAATATCATGTCAAAGTTCTTCAGATGGAACTGAACTCTTTCGAAGTGAACCAACTCTACCTCATCCAGTGTTATCACAAATGGCGGCTAAAAGTCATTCAATTTTAAATATTAATTTAAGTGATAAACAAAATAATTTGAATGTAATTCTAACCCAATCGGTGAGATTGACGAGACATCCAGAGGTCGGTTGCAGTAAAACAATACTACGATTGGGAACTCCAGGATATCCCAAATCTCTGAATGGAGTGTCAAACTCGACCTCTTGTTTAGTCAATTGTTCCACTTTATCGCAGAATGTCTTGAACGCAGTCTTGAGCTTCTGTCTGAGCTCTCGTTCTGCCTGTTCGGCGGCCAAGTCGTCCCTGTCGTGCATGTGTTGGTGTTTTCCCAAATCGGTAGTAATCTCTCCCACTTCTGTGTAGAACTGGACTTCCGATTGTTTCTTTTTGCCAAACATTATGGCATTCTATACAAAACCAAAACATGTAATTCAAGTGATCGCAAGAGTGGGACAGACCTTAAGTGTGAAGTGAAGGAGAATAAGCATCTCTTTGTCGCAGGGCTGGAAAAAGGCGTGTTTAATGTTATTGTAAAGTATGTCAACCCTATCGCCTCGGATTGACGTAAACCTGAAGCCATTGGCGTGCGCTTCGAGAGTGCCGTGAATTCGTTTCGTTATAATGTTTGGTCGGATATACAAGTCCTTAAGCTTAGGGTTGCCTTTATTTTGACTCAACACCAAAGTGTCCTGTTTTACGATTCCTTCCTTTTCGCGCTCTTCGGCTTCTCTAGTCTTGAACTTCTTCTGGACTTCTTTAATGAGTCTGAAGGCTGTGTTGAGGTTAGAAGAGGGCGCAGAGATCTCTCCGGGCTCTTTCACATTAGTGGCCCGATATGTGAGCTCTTTAAGGAATGTCGAGTCAAAGTTGGCGACAAACATATTGCCGTCGGTCTTCGCCAGAGTGGCCCCGGGATGGAAGAAATTCACTCTCAGGTACGTGTAGTCGCCTTCAATCGATTGCGAGATATTCTTAATGGTCGAGATGTGAAACGGAACCGGTATTCCGAAAATGGGCAAAATCACGGTCTCGTACTTCTTGTCCACAAATATCATCAAATCATTCACTTCTGTCTGTTTCGGCATTTGATTTATATTCTTATACGAAACCGTCGACTTTCGCGACGACTCCTCTTTATTGCCGCCGGCTTTCGAGGCCAGTCGCGCGCGCGCCGACTCATTCAGATTGTCCGACAACTCCTTCTGATGTTGTTTGCGCTTCTCTTCAGTCGTCGATTCATTCTTCAAATCAATTGTAAGTTTACTTATTATTCAACACGAATTACAATGTATTCAAACTTACCCTCAATTTGTTTTCTATGAGAGCTGTACGACGAGCGCCACGACCAGCGAAGTCTTCTTCCTTTACAATGTCTGGTTTCACCTCTTCTTCAGACTCTTCGGACTCTTCGTCGCCATCTTTGAGAATAATAGCCACGTTTTTCAACTTCTTTTTGCTTAGTGTTAGCACATTAGCAGCCGATCCGTCGTTTACCACAACTGTATCGCCAATAAAGAGCGCGTATTGTTTTCCCTCCGCATCCGATGCAGACTTATTCTGGAGACCAGAGAAACCGATGGACACATTGAATACCATTCCCTTTTTGGCGATTGAATTAGATTTGGGCGCCAATAGGAGTGATCCCTCGCGAAACTCCAAACCCATAGCAAAGCCTATATTTTTGGTCATTTTGTCGACAAGGCTTTTGTCGCGTTTGGACACCATATCAACGGCGTGTTGATAGACGTCACTCAATCGGACGCCGTCTTTGAGTTTCTCCAAAACACTCTCTTGGAGTTCAACTAAGAATTCGTACAAACTTTTCTGCTCTTCGGTTGGATTGACGAGAAGTGTTCGCACGATATTAGAGCAGTACTGCTTGTATCGGACCCCCAGAGCGCATGTTATGGCCCCAAAGTGTAAATTGTTTTTATCACTATTTGTAATAAAGTCTAAGTTATTGTTCTAGAATTTATATCTAAATAATTATACAAACCTAACGGCACTAAACTTGAGGTTATATTTGCCTCCGGACTGAACGATAGCCGTATAGCAGAGGTCGACCTGAGAGGGGTCGACACCCTTCACGTATTTCTTGTTGTTGACGGCCTGTTCGACGCCGTCGGCCAGCTTTGAATGCTTTACTTTTTTGTCGGAATCAATGATTTCAGTGATTTCTTCTCTCAAATATTTAGCGTAAATGTCTGACGAAAGACCCGCAGCTTTAGTGATGAGTGCGATCTCCTGTTCGTCTTTGGGCGCCATTATATACGCGGCCGCAGAACTCATGTCTAATGTCTCGTAATTCTGGGAATTGTATACTTTCTTCCACTCGTCGACGAAATCGCCGCTAAACTTGTCTTTTGCGAACTCACCGACGATTCGCCCGTTTCTGCTCTTCGCGATCGCTGTCCTCAGGATCTCAAAGTTTGCGCTGTCTTTGTCTGTCTATATATTGCATGCAATCAACGCAATCATTAGTCACACAATAGGTGTCGGATCAACACATCATACCTTATCCCTGACCAACAAAGTAATGGTCGGAACCTTCTCTTCATTCTCTTTGCTCGACTCAATCAACTTCAAGAACTCGACCTTCTTTTTGGACGCCAACACATGGATCGACTGATGGCACAGAACTACCATAATGTCGGTCATCTCATACCCAAAAAGCCATGTCTTCGCAGACAATCATCGAAAGTCAATATCAAGTCAACACAAATATATGACAAACAATGGGTCCGTACCTGAAGTGCAGTGGACTTACTATAGACCACATCCGGGTCCTGACCGACAATCACCACAATTGCGTCCACTTTATGAATGTTATCCAAGTCTTCGTCGCTGTTCTGCTCCAAAGACACGGCAAAGAAAGAGACAAACGTTGAGATCAATGGCGCAAACAATGGCATCAAATATAATGGTATGGAAGTAGTCATCAAAATATTGTCTTACATTCCAAGAGTGGTACAGATGTCGGACGCGTCGGAAGAATGCATTCTTGTCGACCACCAATTGAGACATTGTTTTCGGTGACAACTCACGAGACCAACAGATGAGACAATAAGTGGTAAATCAGTGTTGAATGTGAAGAAGTGGTCACAACTGTCATCGACTTAACGGCGACTCAAGTGATGAACGATTGAAACGTTTGTCAAACAAAACACACAAACAATTAGATGTCGTAATAATGGCTGACTTTAGACGCGCTTTACGTCCAATCAATTGGCGCCTCATTTCCACTACAACTGTATTGCCATTCATTCAGACATTACGTACTCTTTCAACACTCACTGGATTCCGGATTCTGTGACACATATTCTTGTAATTGCATCGATTCTGAGGCAATCAAATGGACGCCAATTGAGTGTTTTATTGGCAGCTCTACTAATTCACAAATATAGGTATTAAACCATTAAATAAATCATACATTTAAGTCATTATATGTTACCATCATTTAAAAATGATTTAATCATGATGGTTACATCATCATAATATTAAATAGTTTATCGTGTTAATCAAATATTCTCATAGACTTAACATTGCTTAGATTTAATATGTGGTCAAAAATCACTAATTCCTTAGAGTTGAGTCAAACCAAGACATTACTTGCATTAGATTCTGGTAACATTACAGGAATGGGCAACATTAGCAACATGTTAACGTATAGGCTTGAGCTGGGATTCAATAATGCTCTCAATATTTCTCTCTCTCTCTCTCTCTCTCTCTCTCTACACACAAACAATTAGATGTCGTAATAATGGCTGACTTTAGACGCGCTTTACGTCCAATCAATTGGCGCCTCATTTCCACTACAACTGTATTGCCATTCATTCAGACATTACGTACTCTTTCAACACTACATTAGATTCCGGATTCTGTGACACATATTCTTGTAATTGCATCGATTCTGAGGCAATCAAATGCACACCAATTGAGTGTTTCATTGGCAACACTACTAATTCACAAATATAGGTATCAAACCATTAAATAAAACATGCATTTAAGTCATTATATGTTACCATCATTTAAAAATGATTTAATCATGATGGTTACATCATCATAATAGTAAATAGTTTATTGTGTTAATCAAATATTCTCATAGACTTAACATTGCTTATAGATTTAATAGCACTAATCACTAATCCATTAGAGTTGAGTCAAACCAATAGACATTACTTACATTAGATTCTGGTAACATTACAGGAATGGGCAACATTAGCAAAATGTTAATGTACAGTATTGGCTTAAGCTGGTATTCAATAATGCTCTCAATATTTCTCTCTCTCTCTCTCTCTCTCTCTCTCTCTCTCTCTCTCTCTCATTTAATTTCAGAAAAAATACTTTTGATAATACTTTTAATTCTTTTATTTATATTTAATAGAGTAGTAAATAATTTACAAATTAAATTAAAACACTATTTCGTTTGTTCGGCACATTTAGTGCTGGTTTTCCTCTTAAAAAAGTTTTTAATTTTAGACATCAATGAGTCCTTAGTTTTCTTATCACTTTCATTGTCTGCAATCTTAGCTCTTCTTGTGGTTAAGTTATGAATTGGTCCGAAGGCTAGACTAACGACAGTAGAGACTAAACAAATGACATTATATGGCATTGAGAAGTCAGGCGTCGGAAGTGAGACTAACAGTGTTTGAGTATATATTCTGACAAAATGCACATTTTGTGTGGAAATAGTCTCACGAATTGGTAGATAAGTAAAGTTTTTATCGGTGTTTAAATTCGCACTAATGATCGCCGAATTGACATAAACGCCGTGATTGGCGTCCGGCGGGTATTCCGTCCATTTGAGAAACACTCTATCAAATTGATAGGATATGTCTGTCATACTATTGGGTGGCAAAACCAACAGTAACTCCAAATGATGCGCTTGAATGCGATCTTTAGATGGCTTGTAATAAATGGTATGCGGTTTGAGTGACTGACCATTGGATGTGATTTCAAGTGTGTGCACATATATGCGTAAATACCAGGGAATCACATCTAAATACGCGATTTCTATGGGTTTATCCAAATTATTGAATATATGACAAGTGATGCCTCCGTCGGCCAAACCATAGCCTTTGATGAATCGGTTGGCGTAAAGCGGCGGCGGTTTTACACTCGAATACAATAAATTGTTTTGGAAATAATTGCCAATATTTAACGGTTTGCCGTTTTGAGCGATCATCTGTTTGAGATCATAGGCCGCGTACTTACGCTCTTCGGCGCCGATTACTGAATAAACCAATTTTGTCGGCTCTGGAGTTAGTTTTGTCAAATTCTTGTCGTTATTATCGGTTACATCGATATATAATGTAGTCTTTGAGGCCAAACTACAAGTGCTGGTGAGTGTTGTGCCAAACAGTTTCACTAAAGACCAGCTCTGCTTCCCGTCAAACATAATCGGAGGATTGAAGACAACGGAAATACTTTGAATTAATTCAACTGAAGTCGTCTCGCATTTGATATCCTTTTAAAACAATTATATTTAGTGAATAAACTCAACAGAGATTATGATTTAGAGCCTACTCTGCAAACGGGCCGGAAGTCAATGGCCAGCGAAAAGTAATAGGAGTTAAAGAGGTGTTGGGCGTTGAGAAGAGTGGCCAACCCTTTGTTGGCAAAACAGGGCAACAACTTCTTGAAAGGCGTCAAATTCTCAGTGCAAACCGATTCGTGCGGAAGAGCGCCGTAAAACAGTGACCCGTTTCGATACGACTGGCCATCGATCACACCCTCGGGTCTCAACGAATACTTGGGCTCAACTGTCGCCGAATTGTCGATGAAGTTAATGGACGCACAGAACTGACCGGAGAGTTCGCTCGTTATCTCTCGCCACGCGTTCTCTGGACTAAAACACAATGTTTTCATATTATTATCTCATATATGATATGTAATAGCATTTTGTAACTACTTTTTGTGGAAGTGTTGGAACCAAAGCCAGAGCTGTGCGTTGGGCGGCGCCTCCCGTATGGCATAACCCCATCGCTGGTGTTTCCAAACGCCTTTCGTTAGACTGAAGTGCAGTTCTTGTAATTCATGTTTTGAGATCAGTTTCCCCAAAGACAGAGGGAATACATTGAATCGATTGGCTTAACACAAGACATACACACATATAGTAAGCGATCATTTAGTGGTAATTAATGGCAAACAATACCCCAATTGATTGAATGCAAGCTTTTGTGCCAAATTGTCTTCAGCTCGAAGAAGGCATACAAGTGTCCGTCCGGTAAAGGCTTTAATACCAGAGTTTCCGTGTATTCCTCGTCAGTCGATTTGGTCTCACAATTGAATCCATTGATGGCTAATATCACACATAAAATCACTTTTAAATCAAATGAATTCAATGTCTTAAATGTGATCAACATTTTGGCCAAAAAATCACATTTCATTCAAACATATAATACGTAAACACTTTTGACAAACATTTAAGCAAAACAAACAAAATGTTATGCAATTTATTTATCACTCATTAACTGTATTTTCAGATATTTTGCGTTATTTATATACATGTAATTATATAGTATTCAAGTCACGTGTCATACATTAATACTCTTTAATGTTAAACAAATAGATCATAAATTACGACAAATTTAACGAAATTGAATGAATTAATAATTTACAAAAATACTCAACCCATCGCCGGCTAACATATCATTCATAAATAAAGTCTAATTATTAAAATTAGTTGACATTATAGGTTCACAAATGTCAGTATTTAAGTGAATTACAATTTGTAATTTACAAATAACAGTAATATTGACACTAAAAACTATTTACAAGCTTTTAGTCTATAATTAGTCTGTAATCATATATTTGGTCGATATTTCAATCATAAGTATTTTAAAGTCTTTTATTTGTGAAAAGTCTTTATTGTAAGCAATGTTTAAAATGTATTGAATTATGAATTGATTTGAATGACACAATCGAGTTGTCAGTCTTGATCAGCGCTGCTGTCGTGTTGTTGTCTTTTATTAGTTTTGGTCTTTTCCTGATTAAGTCTGAGAACAGCGCCTGGATTTGGATACGGCCTCATCTGAAACAGTGGTCCCGAAGCAGTCGAGTCCACACCACTCTTGGCGTCGCCCTTCTGTCCCAAGCCGTCCGACCACTTGCCTCGAGGCAGGTCTGAATAGGACGACGGATCCATTGGATCCAAATCATTGGCCTTTCGAACCGCTCGACCCTTCGCTTGACTTTCGCCTCTATTTCTATCATTAAATCTTAATTTATTAGTATTTCTATCATTTCTATCGGATTCCTCAGAATCCGAGTCATTATCGTTAGAATTGTCAGAAAGTTGTGAATCAGAATCAGATCCGTCTCCTTCTTGTTCGTCGTCGTCGTCTCTCAATAGACCTTAAAATCAAAATCAATTAAATTAAAGCAATTGAATAAATATATCATTAAATGTCATTTACTCCTCAGTTTGTCGGCCGATAGAGAGATGCGAGCGTTCGGGTGATGCGGCGGAAACCATGAGACCTCATCCGTCTCTGTCTTCCAGTAATAGAAACAATGTCTGCAAAAACATTAAACAAATCAATAATGGTTTGACATTTTGGTGATGCAATGCTTACACTCCCGGGTCATACACTTCTTGCCAGCCCTCAGGCAATGGGTATCTCTTCACAAGTCTCTGATATTTACGTTTGGTTTGCGGCGAGACTTCTTCGCTCACATCCGCGTACTTCTTATGGCAATAGAGAGAGCAGTCGTGATATATATTGTATTTATTGGGACAGCCCTTCACAGATACACCACTCTTCGCCTCAAACCGATTGTCGTCGTAGTCTTCGGCAATCACTTCCTCCAATTGCTCTAAAAGTTGAGCACAAATTCAAAGTTATTCAGTCGTCAAAAGTAAACACAATATAACAATATATGCACACCTTTTTGTCGGTCATCTTCGCCGGCATCGGTGGTAATGATTCCCCTCTTCTGTAGTCTTTGGGCTAAAGCAAAGGGAAGAGGCATTTGTGGAGCGGATTGTGATTATAATGTGCGGACAAAATGCTGGCCAATGAATGGCAACCAAAAGCCGTGTTTATAACGATTGTTATAAATACAGTGTTTATAGTGCTGTGGAAGTCATGCGCAGAACGAGTGCTTGTATTACACGATCGGACGGAAAGCCCTTTAATGTCATCCAATGTTTTGATGCATTCATTCATTCAATCATTCATTGTTTTGTCAAACATTTAGACAATAATTGTTGTTATCTTTTGATAATATCATTGCGTTTTGATTACCACTTCTTCGTGTAATTTCTCAATACTTGTCAACCAATTGGACGGACAGAAGTGCGGAAGCGATGGAAGCGGTGCCTAAACTACCGATGATTTACTTTGAGCTCAAAATAAGTCCCGTTTGTCCCGACTTTGCCATACCTTTCAAGAATGTAATGATTGTTACCATTGATTGTCAACCACTCTTCGCCTCAAACCGATTGTCGTCGTAGTCTTCGGCAATCACTTCCTCCAATTGCTCTAAAAGTTGAGCACAAATTCAAAGTTATTCAGTCGTCAAAAGTAAACACAATATAACAATATATGCACACCTTTTTGTCGGTCATCTTCGCCGGCATCGGTGGTAATGATTCCCCTCTTCTGTAGTCTTTGGGCTAAAGCTAACGGAAGAGGCATTTGTGGAGCGGATTGTGATTATAATGTGCGGACAAAATGCTGGCCAATGAATGGCAACCAAAAGCCGTGTTTATAACGATTGTTATAATACAGTGTTTATAGTGTAGTGGAAGTCATGCGCAGAACGAGTGCTTGTATTACACGATCGGACGGAAAGCCCTTTAATGTCATCCAATGTTTTGATGCATTCATTCATTCAGTCATTCATTGTTTTGTCAAACATTTAAACAATAATTGTTGTTATCTTTTGATAATATCATTGCGTTTTGATTACCACTTCTTCGTGTAATTTCTCAATACTTGTCAACCAATTTGACGCAAAGAAGTGCGGAAGCGATGGAAGCGGTGCCTAAACTACCGATGATTTACTTTGAGCTCAAAATAAGTCCCGTTTGTCCCGACTTTGCCATACCTTTCAAGAATGTAATGATTGTTACCATTGATTGTCATTCAATACTAATTGATTATTATTGATGTTTTTGTCACTAATAATGGTTTAGTTTATATCCAAACACTACTCAGAAGATGGAAATTCATACGACAGAGAGATCAGTGAATTGGAAGCGCTTAGAAATGTATGCATTATTTGACAATATTATTCAATTCTGTGGTTAATTGTGACCTAAAAATATGTTGCCATTCGTGTCATTGTCTTAACAGAAGGCGAGTCGAGTGCCGCGAGATTTCACCGGCTGTTCACTACTCAAGAGATATTACTCACAAGTGTATAGCCTTTTGAACAGATTTTCTGCGTTTGAGACTAATTTGGGCGTTGAATGTGTTTGGGTTGACATATACTCGGGTCAGACTCAGGTCCACGATCTGGACTTTGAGTTGGCGTCCATTCTGTACAATATCGGTGCCCTTCACGCAGAGTTGGGTGCACTCGACCTGAGGACCGGTGCCGACAACATGAAAGTCTCGTGCACTCACTTCCAGTGCGCGGTTTGGGCTTTTCAACACTTGAGAGACGATAATCGGCTCTTTAAGACGAAAGACATGTCTCACGACTTGTTGTCGTTCTTCGTTCAGGTAATGCTATCGCAGGCACAGGAATGCATTCTTGAGAAGTCTATGTTAGACAATCGCAAGTCATCCATTGTGGCCAAAGTGGCCGCACAAGTGGTTGAGTATTATAGCAGCTCTTTACTCATTCTTTTGCAATCGGCGGTCAATACGAGTGCGAGCCATACGATCGTCGATATCGTCGGCTCTAAGATATATAAAGAGTGGAAAAAATTTATTGAATTTAAAGTTTCGTATTATAACTCGATTTGCGCTCTCTTTATGGGAAATCTGGCCGAAGAACAGCAAAAGATGGGCGAAAGAGTCGCGTGGTTTCAGTCGGCAGAAGTGAAACTTAACGAAGCGATCAAACTGTCCAAACAGATGGACAGACCGGAGCTGAACGAAGCGCTTACTTTTGTGAACGATGTAATTAATGTGAAACTCGGAAACGCTATTAAAGAAAATGATTTTGTTTATCACGAAAAAGTTCTCACGAGTGATAAACTAACAGAAGTAAAGGGCGTTTCGCTCGTGAAAGGCATTCCGTTCAGTGTTTGTGATCCAGAAATCTGCGGGAATGACATATTTAGTCGTCTGGTGCCCATCGAAGCCCACGAAACCAACTCTATTTATAGCGCAAAAAAGGACGAAATTATGAGAACTGTTCGCATCAAAGTTAATGACAAGAATGAAGAATTGGACGCATATATGGCGTCCTTACAGTTGGACAAAGACAGGGTTCGGGTCGGAGACGAACGCATTCCCGACCAATTGATCGAAGTTTGCGCCGCAATGTCTGTCAATCCTAACTCTATTAGTGAAGTGACCGCTGTTTTGGATGAATTAGAAGAGATCAGCGATGAAGTGGACAAAGCTATCAGTGATACTAAAATACTTCTGGAAGAAGAAGAGAGCAAAGAGACAGATCACCAAAACCTGTACGGAAAGAGACCGACGTCTATGATTGTCGTCGAACTGAACAAAGAGTTGTCAAAACACGAGGAAATACACAAAAAGGCCTTACATTCCAACGGATCTCTAAGAGACAATTTGGAGCGACATTGCGATGACATTAAACTATTAATTAGTTCTTCGGCTCAAAACGTGTCATCGCTGTTGCCTTCAACGGGAAGTAGCCTTCCCTTCGATGAGTCCAATTTGGCTGAATTGGAGAAACTATTGGATAAAGTAAGCGAAATGAAACGCCAGCGCATACACCTCGAGGACCAATTGAGAGACACTATGGCCACCGACGACCTCATGAAACAAGTGTTGACTCACAACAAACAACAGATAGAGGAGGTGTTTAACAATGAAATTAAGAAATACGACAAAACAAAAGGTTTGTTGGACCAGAATCTGTCGGCTCAGGAGAATATTCTGCGCGCTCTGACCAAAGCTAACGCTAAGTACAGCGAAACACGAAGAGCACTGTTGGACAACGAACGGAACCGAAACGCTCGCATCGGTTCACTCATCCATACATACGATATATTTAAAGAATTGCAAACAAACTCTAAGAAAGGTCTGGAATTCTATCAGAAGTTTCAGAATATAGTGGACAGACTTCACGCCCGAACTCGTGGTGTCTGTAGAGTTCAGGACGAAGAAAGAGCTCAAATCAGTTCCTCTCAACGGAAGCCTAATTTTAATCATTCAAATGATAACTATATCGCAACAAATGGTGACACTTCTGGCACACCTAAACTCAAAGACTATTTGCAATACATTAACACTTCTAAACCCATTTCCGCTGCAAATTCTGTTTCAAATAATTATTACCCTATTGTTCCGCCGGCGCAGAACTACCCGCCCACTAGTATATCACAGAATATGCCTCAAAATTTATCCCATAATTTGCCTACAAATTCCCTCCAGAATTCTGTTCAGAATTCAACACAAAGTTTGTCTCAAAATTCCTCTCAGAATATGACACAAAATTCCTCTCATAGTTTGGCTCAAAATTCTGTTCAGAATATACCGCATAATTTACCCCAAAATATACCGCAGAATTATAATCAAAACTTACCCCAGAATATACCCCAAAGTCAACCGCAAACTTTATCACAGAATTACCCCCAAACTGTTTCAAACAACTATTCTTATGGTATATCTCAAAATGCGCCCCAAGTTATGCCATCCAATCAATCACAGAATCTGCCGCAAACTTTATCACAGAATATGGCATATAGTGTACCGCAGAACTCTACGTATAGTGTACAACAAAACATGTATAATATACCACAGAATCTGCCGCAGAATATGCCACAGAATATACCACAGAATATACCACAGAATATATCACAGAATATACCACAGAATGTACCACAAAGTTTGCCGCAGAATGTTCCTCAAAGCTTAGCACAAAATCTAACGTATAGTACACTACAAAATCCAACATATAGTGTACCCCAGAATTCTTACAGTTTACCACAAAATCCAGTATATACTGTACCCCAGACTACACCATATAGTCTACCACAGAATGGCGGACAATATAACGCTTCACAGATTCCATCATATAGTGTGCAACAGAATACATCATATAGTGTACCGCAAAATCAATCTTATAGTGTGCCACAGAATACACAGTATAGCGCACCGCAGAACCCGTCGTATAGTTTGCAACAAAATTTGTCTTATAATATACCGCAAAACTTACCACAAAGTTATGCACAGAACCAACAGTTCAGCCAACCCACTGATTCTCTCCTTTCGGACCCCATTAACGATAAAACATTTCCAATACTTCCGGCCCCACTTCAACCTCAAGTGATGTCTTCGCCGTCACTCACACCACAAACCACACCTCCTCTGCAGCCGAATATGGCATCGGTTCCAAACCATTGCAATCCCAACGTAAGCGTTAATATTGACGGACCGGTTGATCACCGAAATCTGACTTTACTCGACTAATTTTGGTTTATATATTTCTTACACTAGTATTAACTATAATATATTTAGTTTGTCTTTATATCTTTATATAACAGTTTTTCAAATGTTTTGTATTAAATAAACTGTTTTATAATGGGATTACTGTTAATGTTGGCTCACATCCCGTCCTTCCCTTTCCGCTCCCCAGAGAAACCCTAACAGTAAATATAGACAATCATTGTTTAATTGATTTACTTGTTGTATGGACTGAAGAGGTGTACGTTATGCTCATTAACAGTATAAACAGCAATACATGTATCAATACTTACGAGCGAACGGTACGAGCTTGTCGGCCGATATCTTAATAAAAAGCCACTAATCATGTAGTTTAGGCCAAATAAAAAATATAAATTAAATATCTCGGGCTGATAGCCATAAACGCCCGAAATATAGCCATTTTAGTGATCGCGCCCATACAGCGTATAGCAATGCAGTACTGGTGATTGGCCCAAGCATTGTGTGAAACACCGTTTTTTAATGCTATACGCCGTATACGCGGAATCACTAAAATGGCCATATCTCGCGAGTTTATGGCTATCAGCCCGAGATATTCAATTTATATTTTTTATTTTGCCTAAACTACATGATTAGTGACTTTTTATTAAGATATCGGCCGACAAGCTCGTACCGTTCGCTCGTTAATATAAAAGTTGGTTTAATAATAAATAATAGTATTTATATTGAAGAAGAAAAATTGAAATAAAATAAATGATAACTAATTTTGTCATTAAATTTCCATTTGAATGAATTATTAAATTGAGAGCACTTTTTGTTGTGACACGAAATNTTAATATAAAAGTTGGTTTAATAATAAATAATAGTATTTATATTGAAGAAGAAAAATTGAAATAAAATAAATGATAACTAATTTTGTCATTAAATTTCCATTTGAATGAATTATTAAATTGAGAGCACTTTTTGTTGTGACACGAAATGATAGTCAATGAGTGATACGTAAAGTTTGATCACTTTTTTTCATTTGTTTGTCTGTTAATTGAGTTTATTTTGTCTTCAATTTTGTCGGTTTTTATAGTTCACAACTCCTCTCCAGTCAGGCATTGAATATCGAAATAAATTTATTTTATTTGGTTTTCAAATATACTTTTACTGCAAAATAATTGTTTCATTAAAACAAACAAAAAGTTGTTATGAGTTATTGAATAAAATTGTGAAACAACTCATTGGAGTCCTTCAGATGCGTTAAACCATTGAACGAACGGAGAATATATTGTTTGGATTTGCTTTCAATTGCAAGCGAATGGTAATTATGTTTGAATGAAGTGATAGTTTTTTTTATGATTTCATTATAAGATATACACTATAGAAAAGTACAGTAATAGTGAATATAATACCTGAATATAACGCATACGAGTTGTTTAAGAAGTTTGACTCAAAAAACACAACGACTCAAAACTGGTTCAAAGATTGTCCTATTTTTTAAAGTATTTCCTAAATTTCATGATTTTAATACTGGACTTCATTTTCCATTCAATTTGTATTTAATTTCAATTTGTTTCATATGTTTGTTTCGTTTTCAATCCAAACGTCTATTTGTCACAAACACATCGACCATATATTTTCGGACAACTGATTCAAAACTGAGCCAAACCGTGACAATCAGTTATATTACGTAAGTTTTTCTAATCATTTACTAAAATATTACTTTCGTTGCAATCATACACTTTTTAAGTGCTTTCAATCGATTAATACATTGTTTATTAAGCAAAAATAAATTATAGCTTTATATTTAGATCTGAATTAAAATATATTACAATAAACTATAACTTTGTGAATAAATAGCCGTCGCTAACAATAAATTCAATTTCTAATTCAATTAGGGCTCAATTCATGGCTTTTTTAATTAATTTATTCAATGCTATGAATAGTTTGTATTTTCAACTCCTTTTTTCTTCATAATAATTGCCAAATCATTGAAACAAATGAATGGCAAAAATAATTATGCAATGAATTCACAAAATTTGTCTAACAATGGCTTACTTATCGAAAAAGTATTACTTTTCTAAGAAAATTAACTTTTGAACGAAAAATTTCACTAAAACTTTAAAATAATTATCATTTTATCGATTGAATACAAAAATTGACAGATAATACAGTATTGTCTCCACTTTTTCACTCAATATATGTGTGAAAATAATTTTTTAAAGCAGACAAAAAATATTGAAGACAATTGATTGAGAATACGATTGAATATTAACGTAATATTAATACATAATATACGGTAATAACGATTGTATGCATTAATTGTTCAGTGCTTTGAGTGTTTAGTGCACTATAAGTACTAAACACTGAAAATGTTTTCTCTCCGTTCATTGCGTGCATTTAGCACTTGTATTGCGTAATCCATTGCCTAAATACACGACTACACTATTATTAAGCGCCGGGCGTTTAATACTAGACATAAATGCATATCAAAAAGATTTACAAATATTATTTAATAATTTATTTAAAACACATTTTTGGTCATTTATTTAATAAATATGACCACAATTGACAGCACTATTAATTATATAAAACTATATCTGTTTGCTCTAAAAGTACAACAAATCAAATAAATAACTGTATGTTTAAAGAGTTAGAGTATATGAAGGCGTTTATTAGGCGGGCGTTTATGTTGTGTGCCGTCGATGTGTTGGTTAGCAATGCTATGCAATACTAGAGCAGTGTTTCAATGATTGCACTCATAATACGATCACAACTACTGTAACGTAAAGTCAAAACTTGTCACTTGTCTAACACATTGATCCACATTTGATCCCAATCTTCAGCACATCTGCAATACGTGTGTGGTTTGCGCTAACCATTCAAGTGATCCACTGTTTGTCAGCCATTATTGTGATCCAACTGATCCAACGGTGAAGAGTGGGTGATGTGTCCGGTCGTGTTATTGGCGCTGATATTATCAGTGATTTTGCTGTTACTGGAAGTGACCGCAGCTTTGAGTCTAACATTCAGGCCATCGATTGTGAATCAGCTGAAAGAAGACGATATCATTTCCGTCGAGTTTGGTTTCAATCAATCCAACCATCGGTTCAATCAAAAGGATTATTACGATTTGTATGTCGACGACAACTCTGTGGTGGAAGTGGTCGGCGACAAGAGTCTGGTTGTGGACCACAATTGGCCCCAAAACGGCTCATTTGAATTGAGGGGCAAATCGTTGGGCCACTCGTGGCTTCGTTTGGTCAACAGAAACAACAGCAACGATGTCAGCGACAAACTGGCCATCAGTGTTGTCCGACCGATGAGCCAATTGACTAAAATCTTCACTATATCTGTGGCTGTATTGATATCAATAAACTATATAAACATGGGATGCGCTCTCGATCTCAATGTGGTCTACCAAGTGCTGAAGAGGCCGATTGCGCCCACCATTGGATTTGTTTGTCAATACACTTTCATGCCTTTGGTATACCATTTGTTACTCTCGTTGTAATGGTTTGTGATTTAATGAAATGATGTGTTATTTTGATGAATAGATTGCATACTTTGCGGGCAAACTGTTGTTCACGGAGTCATACCTCCAATTAGGACTGTTTATCTTCGGCGCGAGTCCCGGCGGCGGCGCCAGCAATATGTGGACAGTCCTTATGGGGGGTAATCTCAATCTCAGTATTACCATGACTTTTATCAGCACTCTGTCAGCGATTTGTAAGTTTAAAGTTCCCGTTCAATCAAAATATAGTATTTATTTTTCCTTTTAATTCACTTATTGTTTAATTGTTTGGTATTTAACAAAAACAACACTTCCGGAGAGGATATACCACATCCTTATCTCATTGTTTCTATTCTTAGAATAAATTATAGTTTAAATCTGTTTTTTAATCATTTGCCACTAATTTCAGTACAAATCTCACGGTTTATCTGCGCCGGCGGAACAATAGGGTAATAATTATTTGAAACAGAATTTGCAGCGGAAATGGGTTTAGAAGTGTTAATGTATTGCAAATAGTCTTTGAGTTTAGGTGTGCCAGAAGTGTCACCATTTGTCGCGATATAGTTATCATTTGAATGATTAAAATTAGGCTTCCGTTGAGAGGAACTAATTTGAGCTCTTTCTTCGTCCTGAACTCTACAGACACCACGAGTTCGGGCGTGAAGTCTGTCCACTATATTCTGAAACTTCTGGTAGAATTCCAGACCTTTCTTAGAGTTTGTTTGCAATTCTTTAAATATATCGTATGTATGGATGAGTGAACCGATGCGAGCGTTTCGGTTCCGTTCGTTGTCCAATAGTGCTCTTCGGGTTTCGCTGTACTTAGCGTTAGCTTTGGTCAGAGCGCGCAGAATATTCTCCTGAGCCGACAGATTCTGTTCCAACAAACCTTTTGTTTTGTCGTATTTCTTAATTTCATTGTTAAACACCTCCTCTATCTGTTGTTTGCTGTGAGTCAACACTTGTTTCATGAGGTCGTCGGTGGCCATCGTGTCTCTCAATTGGTCCTCGAGGTGTATGCGCTGGCGTTTCATTTCGCTTACTTTATCCAATAGTTTCTCCAATTCAGCCAAATTGGACTCATCGAAGGGAAGGCTACTTCCTGTTGACGGCAACAGCGATGACACGTTTTGAGCCGAAGAACTAATTAATAGTTTAATGTCATCGCAATGTCGCTCCAAATTGTCTCTTAAAGATCCGTTGGAATGTAAGGCCTTTTTGTGTATTTCCTCGTGTTTTGACAACTCTTTGTTCAGTTCGACGACAATCATAGACGTCGGTCTCTTTCCGTACAGGTTTTGATGATCTGTCTCTTTGCTCTCTTCCTCTTCCAGAAGTATTTTGGTATCACTGATAGCTTTGTCCACTTCATCGCTGATCTCTTCTAATTCATCCAAAACAGCGGTCACTTCACTAATAGAGTTAGGATTGACAGACATTGCGGCGCAAACTTCGATCAATTGGTCGGGAATGCGTTCGTCTCCGACCCGAACCCTGTCTTTGTCTAACTGTAAGGACGCCATATATG